TTAAAATCCAAGTTAAATAGATTTTTATTGGTTTGTTTGGTCTGTAAATATAACCACATATTATATATTATATATTATTATATTACACATTATAGATTATATATATATATATTATTATATTTCATATTATATATTATATTACATATTATATATATGATTATATTACACATGATATATTATATATATAGGCGCATTATTATATATTATATTACATATTATTACATATTATATATATGTTGGGTTTTATTGGTAATTTTAATAATCCATCACAATTTAATATAAATTAATGCAGAATCAATAATAATTAATGACATTACTGTAAACAGTAAATATAAAATGAATGTGAGACTTTACTTTGCTGCAGTAACGGAGTATTTGTACTCGGTGGTACTTTTACTTCCTCACATGTGGAGCGCAGCAGCAGCGGTGGGCGGGGCTAAACCACATCTGGATGAAAAACATCTGGACTCTCTCTCTCTCTCTCTCTACATATGAGTGTCTCTCCGCTGACACCGGGGCCGAAGACCGACCGACGGACGGACGGACGGACTGAACCACCGACGGACCGACCGCTGAGTGCTGACTTTGCCCGCAGATGATGGCTCGGTACCGGACGCTTCGGACCGGGCTCCTCGTCCTCCTGACTGTGTGTGAGTGCTGCTGCTCTGCGCGCTTTTCTCTCTGTTTTCCTCGGAGGGCCGGAGGGATGGATGGGGGTTTGTTTGGGAGCTCCGCAGAGTTAGAGGAAGAAACCAGCTCCGTTATTCAAGTAAAGTATCGATACATCCGAGTAAAAGTACCTAAAAGTATCAATATACATCAGAATAAAAGTATGAATATATCAGAGTAAAATTATCTAAAAGTATCAATACATCAGAGTAAAATGATCAATACATTAGAGTAAAAGTATCTAAAAGTATCAATATACATCAGAGTATAAGTATGCAGTAATCAGAGTAACCAGTATGAGGAGTATGGTGCTGTGGGCCGGGGCTACTAACTGTGGCTGATATCTGACTGTGAGACTTTATTGGATCAGTATTGATCAGTATTGATCATCAGTGTCAGAGCAGCATTGTGGAGGAGGATCCGGTAGGAACTACTTTATATACAGTTAATGCACTGGTTCCCAACATAGGGGTTGGGGGCCCTCCAGAGGTCATTCTGAGAGATGACAGAAGAAAAACCAAAGTTCTGATACACAAATAATTGATTATTGATTGGAGTCCGGAACCAGTCTGAGGTGGTTCTGTGCAGCTTTACTCCTCTGCTCCTCTTCATCAACGTTAATATTAAACGTCTGTCTGACAGCTGCAGTTTCTAAAGGTTGGATCTCCAGATGTGCTGATGTTGACTGTTTGTGATGAAGATGATGAAGACTTCCTTTATGAGTTGAGAACATGATCCTCCTTCTTAAAGGACCAGTGTGCAGGACTAGTCCCTCACTTCACCTTCCTCTTCCTATAGAAACATGGCTCATTATTATACTATATTATTATATTTCTGACAATAGATCATCTTCAATCAACCTTTAAGCTAAATAAACTACAACCCTGTTGGATGATCAGGACAATGTCCCAGAGCTGGAAACATATAGTGATCTTATAGAATATGATGCTGTAGTTTATAAAGTTTATAAAGTAGTTTAAGCTCAACTTTAAACATCTAAAGCAGTAAAATAAAACATTAATGCAGCAGGAATATTGATCCAAACACATCACATCACCTATTGTAGCTCATTCATTTTACTGGTGATCTGTCCTCAGACTCTCAATATGGGTAAAAAATCCCCACAAACACTTTTAACAGGAAATAAAATGTTTGAGGAGGATCTATTGTCAGAAATAGGGATGTTTATTCTTGGTTTATAATCTGACAATGAGCTGTTTTTATCTACAGAGGCAGCAAAGAGCAATTATTATAACCTACAGTCGTGCTAGCAGCTCTATGAGGTTATCCTGAGCTAAATGCTAACGTCAGCATACTAACATGCTGACAATGACAGTGCTTAAGCATTAATATTAGACTGAAAAAAAAAAGACTGAAACTAGAGACTGAGACCAGAAACTCATCAGGAAACTGTTTACTGAGCTCATAAATCAACTTCTTAATAAGACTCAGTCCACTAATTATATACGGTTACCGTTCACAGCTAATGTTTGTAGCCATGCTAGCAGTTCTGGGAAGGATAGTGTCTGATCTATTATATGAACCAAATAGACAATACAGACCTCTGACCTGTATCTACAGCACCGACTTGTGCCCTATATACAGCACTGACCTGTGCCCTGTATCTACAGCACTGACCTGTATCTATCGTGTTCCTGTCAGGATGTATTGTAATAACTTTGTTATCTGGGATTCTTTTGACTGTTCATCGAGCACCATCGTCAGGTCAACATTTGAATGTGTCCATTTTTTTTTATGACCAAATACTTGCTAATTAACAAATGTTACCATGCTAAATACTTATCCAGCTAACAGCACAATCAGACAATAT